CCTACACACCTACAAATGATCTGTGGCCCTTGCCTCAGACCCAGTGCCCATCTCAGATTGCTGTACATGGTATATACATTCAATTCCTTCTTCTCTCTTCATACTACTCAGAATCATAGAATCAGAATCCCAGATCTCCTGTTTAAGAGCACATTTTTTGAAGGTGTTCAAATATTGTTCTCAGTTGCATCAATAACCTCAGTCATGCTAATTATTTTTAATTTCTAATGAACAAAATACGTGCACATTCAAATCTGCACTGCTTTTGACAACCAGTATGTTCTCAGTGGTTACATGTGCTTACTCCCTCACCCTGCCAGACACTGCACCCTTTTTATATACTCATATACAAAAGAGCAAAGCCACAGAAAAAGGTAGAAGCTTTGAGAATGAAGACCAAATTGACAGTAAGCAGGGGAATGCATGTCAGAGAGAAAACCAGAGCTGGTTAGGACAAATCCACATTTTAACAGGGCAACAGAGTCCCTGTGGAGATCAGAAAATAATACCTATAAACAGAGGATGAATCTTAAAGAACTGTACATGGAGTGATCTCACTGAACCAGCAGTAAAGGCACACAGAGGATGGGCTGATCTAAGAGGTTAGCTGGCAGTTCAGCTCATCAATAGAAGCTGCTGTTGTCACTCTTGTTAACTGCTTGTGAGTATTCAGTGTGTCTATAGGTATGGTATACTGCCTTATTAATAACAATCGTCAGCCTTAGCTAAAGGGTTATGGTCAGGGCTGAATTAGATCTAATTTTATCAATAATAAAGGCCCAGTCTATGCTTCTGCTAACTAAAAGCACAAATCCCCATCAAGCTTCTTGGAATTGGATTTTAGCTAAGACTTACCTCCCATGTTAGTGAGAGACGACTCACAGCAACGTTACTCAGTCCCATAATGATAGCGAAAAAGGAATTCAGATTTTTGTATTCTTTGCAGCTGAAACACAAAGGGGCAGGTTTTTAGTTGTATGTATCAGTCAGTTCAGTACACATGACAACTTTAAGAGAGCTGAACCCAGGCAGCTAACTTAGATGTGAATGCATTTGGGCAGCCCTAGCCCATGTCTGCAGACACTTCTTCACCAAAGTGTTAGTACTTTACCACATTCTGGAGGCTCCTTTCCCCTCCCTCCTAAAATGACCTTCTGCTTCCACTTCACTGGGTGCCAGTTTCTGCAAGGACTCCTAGCCTTTGAAGCAGTTCCCCACCCAGAAACACAGTCCTGAAACTGGGCTCACTTCAGTCCCAAGGAATACCAGAAACAGTGGAAGCAAATGGTTTACAACCTCTTTTGCTGCAGAACTTGCTGACAGCTACTGAATGCTGGAAGCTCTTCCTAGACGATCGTAATCACAGTTTACAGGGTCACTGAGTCTTTTTAAAGGGAGAAGACCATCTGTCTGCTAGTGACCTCTCCTGCAGTATAGGATTTCTATTACTTATAGATTCTGGAACTCTTTAGTATGTATCAGGCAAAGAACTGCGATTTGTTAGCATCGTCATTAAAGAGGTCCTAGGTACTAGGAGCTCTAGGTCACACTTCATCTCTAATGCAATGAAAGCTTTTGTTACCAACCAGGAAAAACTGGGACATGTAACAGTATTATGGAAGATCCAATATACCATAAGCAGGAGCAGACACAATCTGACAGGAAAAGCCAACACAACTACTCAGCTAGGACTGCATCATATGAGTCATTGACTCAATGGAAGGGAAGAGAGAGAAAAAATCCTTTACCTCATAAATCTACATCTCACTAGGTTCTTGCAAATAATTTGCTATTTTCACAACTGATTTGTCAACATCTAATTTCAGCACCTCAGTCTCTGTTCCTTCTTCTGTGAGCAGCATTGCTCAGGGGTCAGTATTGGGACCATTGTAGTTTAACATCTTTGTCAGTGACATGGACAGTGGGATTGAGTGCACCCTCAGCAAGTTTGCTGACACCACCAAGCTGTGTGGGGCACTCACAAGCTGGAAGGAAGGGATGCCATCCAGAGGGACCCTGACAGGCTTGAGAGGTGGGCTGATGCAAACCTCATGAAGTTCAACAAGGCCAAGTGCAAGTTCCTGCACCTGGATCAGGGCAATCCCAAGCACAAATAAAGGCTGGGTGGAGAATGGATTTTGAGCAATCTGGTCTAGTGGAAGGTGTCCCTGCTCATGGTAGGGGGTTGGAATTAGATGATCTTTAAGGTCCCTTCCGACCCAAACTACTCTATGATTCTATCATTCACCAAGAAAACTTTAACATGACTCAAGCTATGATTCTCAGATAGATTTTTTTATTCCTCACTGAAGCTCTTAGCTCCTCTGAGGTATTCTTACCTTCAAAAGAAATTAGTACAATCTTCACACCCTACCGTCCAACTCCATAATTGCCACATCATCCTATTGTTATTCTGTCCTTTCTGTCCCTCCATTTCACCAGACTTGATGTATTGAGTGGGTGAGTCCTTTAGATCTGGGCCTCACTTGTGTCTGCACTGTGTGAACACTGAGCATGTGAATAAGTGATCTCTCCCATCTGATGGTCTGTCTGTTGGAGACTGCTGCCCCCTCAGATCTTCTGGCAGAGCTGCTCACACAAATTCTCCCACATGAGATTAGGGACAGTGAACAAGGTTAGCAAGGATAAACTGAAATGCTAAAGATACACCAACTTATTCTGACTGGAGCAGGTCAGGGAGTGCCTCATTAGTGGATCTGAGGGGAGATAAGGATGAAAAGCAGCCAGGATAGGCTGTCAGTGATACCCTCTTCCCTAGGCACAACTAAATGCATAAAGGGATATCTGTCCACAGCCCATGACAGGAATAGGAATAAATTGTGGCATTGTAAAAATAATTAGTACCACACAGCACTGCTGCTCAAACAGAGTAGGAAGCTGCAAATGTATCTGCAATGCTGAATTTCAATCTATCTTTCATTTTAAAAAGGAAAAGTTTTGCCAAATACCCTGTTAAGCAATGCAAACTGACACAGCCTCAGTTAAAATCCATCGAGACGAATTACATTCTACACCACATATTCTATATGTTCTACAGGCTCTACACTAAATAGCTTAGTTCCAGACAGAGGACTCCTGTAAGGCAGTAGAAACAGTACTGCATGGCTCTACTGCATATATACTGCCTGTAAAATGGCAGAAAGTGGATCATCTAAAGCACTGCAATATTGTCGGAGCAGTGGTCTTTCTGCGTCCCAAATTGGACTATACTGGAAAAAAATCTTCCTGTTAGTATGAACAGTGAACACACACACACACACACACTCACTCACTCTTCTCTCCAACACAAACATGTATGTGGTTCAAATCTCTCGGTGCTTACAAAAGCATATTCATCTTGGCATTTTCTCTATAAACACACACTTCAAAATTTTCTTATTTCCTCGGTTTTTCTTTTCCCATTTCATTTCCTTCCTTATTTCAAAATTTCCTTGGGTTTACAACATATGCATGTGTATGGAAAGAATGATTTTCAAGAGCTGAATGAAAGTGTCTGAGTACAGTAATACACAAGAGAGCTTCTAAACAGCCTGTGGATACATCTCCAAAGAGTTTGTGGATATCAATAAGTTTGTGTGCAAGCATATCCCAGAAGGCCTTTCTAATACAATTAATATGGGAAGAACTCACTGTCAGAAATATAGTTCACTTCTCCCTTTTGTTTGAAAGTCTAATCCTACAATAGCTGGAGAAAAGAGATGAACCTGGTAACCTCTACATGCCTTCCCAGCAGATGCAAAAGTGACACTGGCTGCTGGAACTGAAAGTGTGTGTGCAGCAGGAGCCAGCGCTCGGCTCTGCGCTGGGAGCTCACATCACAGGGCGCGTGGGGTGGCAGACACAGAATGACGTGCCTTCTGCCACAGCATCCCAGCCCCGAGCCACAGAGCTGAGACAGGGTTCTCACTGCAGTTAGCTTTGAAAATCAGTACGTGCGAGGCACCTCGTTACCACCAGCCATGCCTAAGATTAATAGTGCAGTGCTGAGCTGTTCTCCCTGAATGCTTTTCTAATGAGTCTAGTACTTCTAGGTAGGGTAAAGTTCTCATTAGGTCTCAAGGATCTTCACAGGCAAAACTTCCTCAAAGATACTGCTTCAAGGCCTGGGCTTTTTCTCCCCTCCAACTTCGGTGCACTTTGTGTTTGTTTTAGTGCCTGCTGTAGCACCTGTTACCATGGCAGCCCTGCACAGAGGGCAGCAGCCTGGCAAAACTTCCCAGCGCCTGCAATTAAACCTGCCCTCTTGGTTTGTACAGAGGAAAATCTTGTGCTTCGGGTTTCTCTGCTTTTAGGAGACAAAGAGGACTCAGCAGAGCAGGCCGCTTTTAGCTATTTATTTTTAGCATTGTAGTGATACCAGAAACATGGAAGTAAACAGGAGGTTGTCAGGCTGTTGTAAATAGCACAGGATTAAACCCATGACTCCGAGGAACCCACGGGCTAAGGCGCTTTATTAAGGAGATATTTAACCGTCATTTTTAGGATACTTGATTTCAAGTGTTCGTGGAAATTACTGTTGTATCTCAATGATCCACATTTCAACGTTTTCGTGCGTGAGTTCAGGACAGAGCCCGAGGTGTGTGAGTGCGGGTGCCACTGCCCTCTCCTGGGCGCAGCCTGCCGGGCCAGGCTGCCTGCCCGCTCTGCTCTGACATAATGGAATATGTGCCACGGGTATTTCGGGAAACCAAAGAGGTAAATTCTGTCCTCCGGTCTAAATATAATCCTGATCCTGCATGCCCGCCACTACATTTTGAAAACCTTCAGCTTCGACCAACTGCAACCCAACGGGAGTGCCCAAAGGAGCTCCCAGAAGGAAGCACTTGCAGAGAAAGGAAACACTTGCAGGGTGAGCAGAGCATTTACAGAGCAAGGAAGCACTTGCAGGGCAAGGAAACACCAGCAGAGCAAGGAAACACTTGCAGGGCAAGGAAACACTTGCAGAGCAGGGTGTCGGGGAGGAAGGAGCATGCTGATCCCAGGTTTAGATGTGAGCACACCCTTGAGCTATGTGCAATTACTAGCTGGGAGGAGAGCAGCATCATGGTTGTAATAGTTATCTCTTCCTTTACACAACTCCATTTAATGATGAAAAATAGTTAAAACTCAGATTTAACTGCAACTAACAATGTCTGTGTTGGGTAAGACTGCCTAAAGGCTTCCAGTCACAATGCCCAAAGCCACAGACACTGCACACCTCAGCAAGCTGCTTGTTCAGACAGTGATGAATGCATTAAATACACCACAGACTGGAAAGGGAGGGAGAGGGTAACAGTGATAACCATCTGTAGCTATGCAGGGCATGGACATGCCCCTGCTCTGCTCCCTCTGAAGTCAGTCACTGCCTTGCTTTGGACTTCAGTAATACGGAGTCAAGGCCAACATCTCTGGCATGAGGACTCCAAATAGTTTAAGTTTGAATAGGAATAAAAGTAGACAGCAAGAATTGCCTGCTATCCAACCTCAGACCCAGCAGTTAGCAACAAAAAAAGGACATGCGTATTTTGGCATTTCCAAACTAAAGTTTTAGAAAAAAATCCCAAGTGGACTGAAAGAGCCTCATCATCTCCATGCTACATCTCTTTGCTCTTCCCTCTTGGTTTTCCCACTCAGGGCAGTTCTGAGAATGGTTTTCCTGAGTGGCACCAGAAAGAATTCTGTTCTTAGGAAAATTAAGGCTCAATTTTGTTAATACTTACTAATATATTAATATTTGCTACTGTATGTGAGGGTAAATGAAGGATTTTCCTAATGAACTGAAATATATTTACTCACAAATTTGACAGGAAAACATGGCCCTAAGAGATCACAGATCAAGGAGCAATAGAGAGTAGCACAGGAAAGAAGAATATTAACAAGGTTCTATACAGCCCTATAAGTAAATGGACAGAATTACCAAACAGAGAATGTTTTAACCTTTACTGTGTGTGGCTGTCTGAAAATAGAAAATCAAAAAATATTGATTATACTGAACTTCATTTCCAGCTCACATATTATTAGATACTTACTGGGCTGCTATCTTAATATACTTCTTTAACAGCTGAACACGCTTGCTGAGTTGAGAGCAAAGACAAATCTCGGTGACCACCCAGAACTGAATTTCATTAAATCTTCTTAAAAACAAGTCCAGATTTGCTGTGGTCTTTTTAAAATTGTGCCTTCCAAAAGTGTGATAGATCAATTCCAGCTAGGAAAGAGAAAACAGTTTGGGATATTTTTCTTAGAAGTTGCATCTGTTGGACAGAGGAAAGAGGCTAAGAGTGACCAGGTAAGTATTTGGCCTGAAACTGGCTCTGCAGTTTACATTTATTGCTGTAAAGATGACAAGGATTCAGGTTATAAATCCAGCAGACAATAGCGGAGGCATAGTAAAAGTATAACTACAGATTATGTATAAATAGCTTAACACCTTAAAACATACTAAAGTAATTCAACAAGTAGCACACATCAAGAAGAAGGTTAACTTCATTTTTGCAGTTTGCCTATAAAATTAAGAATGTCTTATACTTTCCGAACTCATAGGTGGCTTTATTGTAGTATTTTTGAAAATTAAGCTTAGAGGAAGTTTTGGAAATGCACAAAACTACAAGGTACAACTAAACATCTAACAGATTCTAACCTGCTGAATAGATAGATCCTCATACCTCATGCACACAGTTGAAGAGCTCCCAGTCATAAATCGTCATCTGATGTGCTAAGTCTTTGGAACTCATCAGTTCGAACGTTCCTACTGTACCAGTAGATGGTCCTTCTTGTTCTGGTAATGGTGCCTACAAAGAGAAAAATGATATAAAAATATTTGAGAAATGCTAAATTGCATGACTGGTGATTTTCTTCCATAATGTTTCTAACTTTTTTTTTCACTGTGACCACTTTCCTAAGCATGTCTTGAACAGTAAAACTGAGATTTGCTTTTAACCACAGGCAGGTCTTAGGAAATGAGAAGCCCTGTGCAAAATCAGTATGCACTATGCACAGGATAGCCAGGAAACTTCTGAAAGCTCTTCAGGGGCACTGTAAGGAAATAAACCAGACTGTTCTCAGTGTGTTATTTTTAGCATTGTTCCAAAAATTGAATCTAGAAATAAATACTTCAATACACATTATGCTAACTAAAGCATGTCTGTTTGTTTAGGAGCATAGGTCTTTCCACAAAGTTTTTATTATGTTTCCTTTTTCACACACACAAATAACTAGGCCACAAAGCACAAGCCAAATAGTTTTATAAATTCCTGACTCTAACGATGAGAATTATTACAGCTGCCATTCTTCAGAAATCTGCAGTGATTGCGAGATCTTCTGACCATTTATAAAATAAGCCTCATACTTTCTCTGTGACAGTACAGGGATGCACCATTTGTGACTGCAAAACTCCTAATTATGCCAATTAAAATGATATGCACACAGTCTTATGAGAACGAATCAAGTATAAACCACTTCCATACCACCCAATAAATCAGATGTGATCTACAGTTTTGCATACAAGTAAATCTCATATTAAACAGAGATTTAAACCGTGGCTTGAGATCGAGTCAGATTTGAAGTAGTCTGGTGTATATATTAGGGTCAGTGTTTGAACCAGCACTGCTAAAATACTAACAATCAACCCCCTTGCAAATTGGAGTGTGTAAGCCTAGTGCAGCTGCCTGTGAATCGCGGGTCACTGCTCTGTACCCAGGAGAGGGCAGTAGACTTCGCTGACAAGTTACCCAATTTCTCACCGCATCTTTGTCACACAGGTAAAGCCAGAGCAGGGAACTGTCAACAGGCTCCTTTCTGAGTACAAACTCAATGAGTCTGAGAGATTAACAGACCATATTTACATACCACAGTATAAAAAATGAGCTTAATGAGTCCACTTTTATATAAGAATAATATATTAGCAATAGAAAAAGGACTGGCTGGATTAATACATCAAATCACTTTCTGAGTAACATACAGTAATGCATGTAGCTGCTTCATTTCTGAATGAATTCTTGCTTTGTACTCTAGGGAAAACTTTTCTTTCCAATATCATCATAATGCAAACTAAAAATTACTAAACTAAATCACAAGCATTATTGTCTTAAAATCTTCATCTATGGTCTTTTAAAATAGTGTATATAAGAAAAGTATTATCTAAAAAAAAATCAGGACAGTCATAAATCTTAGAGCAGCCTGCAGATTGCTCTGGATTGGGATATAGGCAAACACAACATGTATGAAATAAAAACACAGCAGTTTTGTGTAGAAAATCCTTGTTTGTGGAAAACTGTGGGAAGAGAATTGCCCCCAGATTGAAAGAGGGCTTTTTTCCCCTATTTGGAGACAAGCACAACATAGCTGTTACCATAACAAACACATATTTTCCAAGGCTAGGAAAGAAGCACTTAGATGCAAACTCACTGCGTATTTGAAAATTCATCTCCCCAGAACAATTTTCACATGGGAATTGCCAAACGTAATGTGAATAAATGTTCATGCACAGGCAGCAGCCAGAAATTGGAATGTGAAAGGATTAAACTGGGAGGCAGGTAAGGCTGGAGCATTTTTCAATTTGTTTATACCTCTCTGGAAAAATGCAGATGATTAAGGGGCCATATTCTATTCTGCAGTGCTGAAAGGCTTTTTTAAGGTGCTGAATGTACCTCCCTAATTCCTACTGAAGTCAGTCTAGTTGATGAAAACTAGCACATTGCAGCCCTGTATCTTAGAGCTCCCTGCAGCATTTTGAGTACTTGATCCACAGTAAATAGCACAGGGAAAAGGCACAGAAAGCCATGACAATTTGCTGCCAAAGCTATGTGTACACAGACAATGCAGAGTTATATCTAAGTACCCAGTGCAGTTGTACTGTTGTAACACCCCTGCTTTAGAGTAGCATGCCCCATGAGGGTACCTACTTGGCAGGATTAATTAACCTTAAGGGAACACCAGAATTTAATAAACTGAACAAGAGGTATCTCTGCATGGAACTACATGTGCTGGATGTGCATTCCCTGGTTACTAAATTGAAAGCAGCAGCAAAGCATAGATTTTACCATATCTATAAAAGAAATCAGGCATACATACTAAGTGGCTTGTTAAAAGCATAACAGGAGGCTGAAACAAGGCTAGGAGTAATAGAGTTCATGCTGACATGACTTGGCAATGACATTTGTTTTTAATGAAATAAAAGGAACAAAAAGTACAGTCAAATCAAACTCTATAAAAGCAGACCCCATGGAGATCATTAGAATGACTGTATAAACTCTAAGTACTTATGAGCAATTCTACCTAAGAAAAAATAGACTTTCTACAAGGAATATTTTCTGTGATTCTACTTAGAAATCTGAGATTTTGACACAGTATTTTATGGGGATGAGAAATAAAAGATTTTAAGTAATTTACAGCTGGAATCAAATCTCCAGAATATTTTAATTGGTAACACCTATGTTTGAGAATATATCCCTGTGGCCTTGAGGAGATAATTCTGTAATCAGGAATTACTCCATGTCTTAGTGACAATACTCAGCTCTTCCCAAATGCTCAGTGTGACATACTGGGATCAAGCGCTGTTATGTGGATCAGATGGATGGATTTCTGCCGTAGTTTAGGAAATAATAACATTAGCTTGTTTTAATTCCAGGGCTCATCCCATAGCACTGTGACAAGCCCTTTGTTGTGAATCTTTCTACCAGTTTTTACCTGAAGCATTGATAATGCCAAACAGGCCAAGTGTTCAAGTAAACTGAAGCACTGACCTTCCTGAGCCCTGCAAACATACATACCAATGAATCGAACTGATCACGTGGGCAAGCGAACAGCCGTCCATTGACACTGAGAGTGGTAAACACTGAAACATCATGAGGTTTGAGCACAACCTTTTCTGTAAAAGAGAAATAAATGATTATTATATATATGCAGAATTTACAGCAGGACTGATCCAACAGCTGCACAGATCACCCTCCTCAGAACAAATTTTGCTCAGTCACCCAATGTCCAGAATACAAAACAGATAACAAGGTCCCCTTTATTGAAGAAATGTGACGGTCCAAACCAGACTACCACAGAACTAGAATCCCAGTCCCAAACTGTACAGACAGGTCAAGAAGCCTGTGCTGCCATCTCTAGAAGCTACCTGCAAAAATTCAGCTCTAATTAGGGACTCCATTCATTCTTCGCTGAGCTGTAAGCATTTGGAGAGTGGTTCTTAAGAGAAATTGCTTTGGAAGATAGTGACTGCCTGAGGAGGTGTTGAAATGCATTGCAGCAGTTCTAGAAGAGCATCACATCACAGGTAAAGAAATGATAATGAAGTAACTTACAAAACAGTCTCTTCCAGCACGTGCTGGCAAATCTGACAATAAAAAATTGCTGCAACTGCAAAAAGCAAAGTTGTCTGGTGTTAGTTCTCAGGAAGTGAGCTGGTTTGTGGCAGGCACCACTGTTTGCAAAAATGCCTTCCAACACAGCTCTCATTACCTCTCCGTGAGTCCTCACAGTCACACTCCACAAAAGCACCTGAGCAACACCAATTCTCCAGCAGAATTCACCTTGCAGTTACTCTCACATTTCAATGGCCTATAGTGGGGGGCTGACTCCTGACCTGCTGCCAACACCAAGGTGAGTGGGTTTGGCACTGTGTTGCTATGTAGTGGCTTGCACGGACAGAACAGACAGAATGGTAGCGGCCACTACTAGAATGTCTGCACTGCAGTGTTTTCTGATGTTGCTGATTCCTAAATCCAGCCTGAGATCATCCATGCTTACCTCCTATTTCTGTTGTTAAAGAGCTCTTACAAGTCTAGCAGTGAAGGAAAATTGTGGTAGTTCTGCTCTGTAACATACAGATACAAAAGGCTCTACATATTTGTTGTCTCCTATGTGATCTCCAGTCTGTGCCTGCAGTAGAGGAAGAACTTGCCTCTAAGACAGAACTTGTGTAACTAACTGAACATGCACATGGGTATAAAAGCCTTGACTGAATTAGTCCTTCAATCCCTCCAAAAATTCTGCTTCACCATAACTGAGAAGTGTTTAAGATGACGCCAGTACCTCCTCCTGAACTCATCTTTACGATGATGAGGCCTTCTCCAGAACCCAGTTTGTCTGCTACTGCGCTGATCACTTCCTTCACTGAGGAGGACACTGGCACCCGGATAGTGGTGTAGGTTTGGTCTATGCAGTACACCTTAAACAGAACTAAAGAAAAAAGATTGCACTGTGTGTTCCACATGTAAAAACCACAGATTTACCATACAAATTACTTTCACTTCAGTAACCATTCCTCACAAAGGAAACAAAGCAACAATAAATCACTACAGTTTTGATAGGTCCCCATTCCTCAGATGTTCTACAATTTATAGTATAGAAAACTCAGATTTCCTAGAGCTTTTAATAAACCATGAAGTACTGGTGTTTCAGTACCAAAGCACTGGATGGAAGGGATGCCATCCAGAGGGACCTTGACTTGAGAGGTGGGACTGTGTGAACCTCAAGAAGTTCAACAAGTGCAAGGTCCTGCACCTAGGTCAGGGCAATCCCAAGCACAAAAACAGGCTGGGTGGAGAAGGGATGGAGAGCAACCCTGGGGAGAAGGGTGCGGGATTGTTGGCTGACAAGAAGCTCAACATGTGTGCTTGGACAATGAAAGCAGCCATGTCCTGGGGAGAAGGGTGCGGGATTGTTGGCTGACAAGAAGCTCAACATGTGTGCTTGGACAATGAAAGAAAGCCAGCCATGTCCTGGGCTGCATCAAGAGCAGTGTGACCAGCAGATCAAGGGAACTGTTTCTTCCCCCTTGTAACACTCCACATGGAGTACTGCACCCAGCTCTGGGGGTCCCAACATAAGACGAATGCTAGTGAGTCCAGAGGAGGTCACTAAGGTGATGAGAGGGCTGGAGCATCTCACCTATGAAGACAGGCTGAGAGAGCTGGGGTCATTCAGTTTGGAGAAGAGAAGGCTCTGGGCTGACCTTAGAGCAGCCTTCCAGTACCTAAAGGTGCACTACAAGAAAGCTGAAGAGGGACTTTGGACAACCCAAACCATTCTGGTTCTATTGCTACATTACTTATGGAGGCTAATTTAATCAGATACTTTATGTTCTAGACATGATACTATTCTAAATAAACATTTCTTTTCAAGAGTCAGTAAAACTGGCTGCAACTCTCCTACTTATAGGCAAATAATTTTCTGATTTACAAAACAGATTTGAAAATAGTCTTGGCTATAATTAGAACTTAAATCAAACTGTGTTGTAGCCTGTTTTTTACAAGCAAGTATGTAATTGCTGAATCAAGAATATTATAGACAATGAAGAAAAATACCCTAGTAGTAAGTATACACTTGTGTGTACAGCTCAAATTGGCTCACAGACTAATACATAACCCCAGGCCTCTGTCTGCCTGCAAATCAATATGATAGAACATTAGCCTGCAAAAAGCAAGGCAGCCCAAAGTGACATGAATTTAAGACAGAAGTTGGCAAAATATTCCTCCAGCTTGTCTGTCAAGCCATGCCAAGCAGCCTCTGGAGTTATAGCTGTCCATGGATTTTCACTGTTCAGTGTGCTGCCTGTCCTACAAGTGAGAAAGGTGCAGCCATATGAAAGAGGCAGTTACTGCCTGTCCAGACAGACACTAGTAGTAGTACTTCCCTGGCAGCAGGAACTGTTTCCCTTTTCGTAGGTCTAGAAGAAACACTGATATGGACAATGCAAGCTGCATGCCTGGCAGGATGTCTAATGTCCATAGGCAGTTAGTTCCAGCTTTTGACATGGCTCTTCCATTGGTCTGATTTATGTTACCAGCTTTCTCAGCTACATGACCTTGCATTTTGTTGCCTTATTTTTACTGCAGTTCGTTAGGAAGAGCTATCCTTTAATATCAAACACCTTGAAGCGGAAACTGTTCTCAGTGATGAAGATGGACCAAAAGAACCACTGAGAGTACCTTTTCAGTACACCTGAAAATGATATTCTGATATGCTGCTGTAAATTTTACCTTAATCTCTTCAGAAAATCAAACAATAGCAAGAGGACAAACTGGCAGATTTTGTTCTCTAGGCTGTGTGCCTAGATTCTATGGTCCATGGCATTATTATCTGCTCTACTATCTTGCAAAGGAATAGCTGCACATGTTAGCTCACACTACATAGGGGAGACAGAGGCTCAAGCATGACCTTCAGCACTCACCATTTATTAGGCTGTCATTACCTGCAGGACATTGTCTGTACTGGTTCTCACCTGTTTTGTTCATTCCTTATTTTAAAGATTTTTACATCTTCCTCTGAGGAAGCACAGTGTTTGACAGCACAAGCAACTAAGGGAGAAGACCAGGAGCACTTCAAATCAACAAGGGAGAATATTGGGCTAGCAAAAGCAAAGAGTTTGCTTCAGGCCAGGTTTTGAAATTGTAAATAGGTATTTTTACTTATTTTTAGACCATTTGAGAGACAAATTTTCTCAATCTCAGTGGCTAAAGAAAACTTTGCAGAGAAGGAACTCACCTTCATCGCTGCCCCTGATAGGCTGTCGTTTCTGTGCTCTTTCATCACTTGTGTTGAACAGCTGCAGAAGAACTTTGTGCTGACAACGAATCATCAAGATTCATATTAATGCAAAAAGAAACATTATGTGGTATACATGAACTACAATAGATCTCTTATCAATGGCAGGAAAAAGAGTACAAATGCAAGATTTGACAATCTTAAAAGCTATTCCTCAATGTGTTTATTTAATAAATCCATGATTACTAAAGTGAAGATGCTTATGAATTTGTTGTGCTTGAGATTTTACATTATGAAACGGACAAGTATCTTACCTTCTTTTGTGATGCTTTAGGTTCTTCAGAGCTGTAAGAAGGTAAAGCATAGAATATATCATGAAATATTACCTGAAGATTTTGTGTACAAAATCATCTGTAGCACATGGACCACTTGTCAAACTACATTATCAACATATTCATATTTATATATGAAAAGACTAGATGATACCATAGCTAATCTATGACCAAGGCAGAAAAACTATTATGCAAAGTTCATATAAGCATGAAATAAGCTTCTGTCAATCTCTCAGTGAGAGTCTGGTGTTTGCAAGATGGATGTGGAAGAGAGTGCCAAAGACATTGATTCAAACAAGCCTGAAAGCAAACATTCAGTCTTGTATGACCGAGTGCCAGCCATACAATGGCTTTTTAGTAGATATAACTTTCTTCATCAATTTACTGAGAAAAAGGTCAGGGGGAGGAAAGAAGCAAAAAGTGTGCTTACACTTGCTTTACGATTTTCTCTAGCTCTGGAAGTTGCTCCTTCAGTGCTGCAATCATTCTAGTATCATCTGATACAGATACGTAAAATTCCTGTAAATGATACAGAATAGTCTTTAAATAACTATAGGGGTAAATGAGCAGTTCTCAGGATAGAGGATTATGAGATGACATCTGATATCTTAATGATTATAAAGAATGATAATCTGCATAGAGGAACACACGCTGGGCCCAACCCTCTATTACTTCAACTTGTTTATCTCCAGCTGATTTAAAGCAAGAGTTATACATGCAGAAGGGAAGCCTGATGAGACTCCTTAGCTCACTCTGTAACCCCTGACTGCTTGCGCAAAAACTGCATTTTCAGATTGTCAAGGGTAAAGACTGTAAAAATCACAAATAATCTGGAATTACAGGGTTTTTTATTCACTGCTGTTGTAGTCCTTAGTGGTTCATTTGCTACTGAGTCATTGACTCTCAGCTACTCCAGTCCCCTACAATATCACCTTCTTTAAACCCTACTCAAACCTTTTCCTGATACATCTACATAAAACTGTCCCAAAGAAGAATTTAAATGCTTGTGACTACTAACTATTCTTTAACTTCTGGACTAATGAAAGACTATGTCTGTCTCCAAAGCCTGGAAAAGCTTTCCCATGTGGGCTTGCAGGATGTTTGCCATTCTGAAGGCCTCCCTCTATTCCCCTCTGTTCATTCTTATCTTAGATTCAGTTTTAAGCTCTTTGGGGCAAGAACTTTCATTCAGCCAGTAACATATGGGATTGTGTTCCACAAACACAATATATAATAACAATGGCAACCATGATGACTTAACATGACATTGGCAGTGCATCTTATCTTAGAAATCCAAGGATATGGCACCTACCACAAAGAACTTACAAGGGTTCTGAAGACAAAGATCCTAAGTTCCAATAGCTGCAGTACAGATTTCATTCAAATGAAAGGATTTTTGGCTTTGTAGACTGACAACCATTCAGTTCCTTCCTGGCACATGTCAAGCATGCATAAACAGCCCTCCAGTTCAACCTGCAGGGCCCCTGAGCTACTCACAAGAAAATACTAAAAAAACCAAATTAATCTACTGCTATAACACAATCTACCCATGCAGCACTTTGAAAGGGGTCTGCAACGGTACTTTCAGAGGTCCACAGGCTGACAATGGTACAAGCACTGTTGTTGGTGCATTTATTGTCTGCAGCCAAACCTGAGAAAAGAGAGTTATGAGTTCACACTTCGAAACGACCTATTTCTCTTCAGTTTGTGACAGAATTCTACAGACCAGGAACAGCCTTTCAGCTTATTTTGCTTGGTAGGTACTTTTCAGTCCAGTGATACAAGGATTGATTTATACCTCCAAGAAGGCCATTGCTGCTTCATCTTCTTGTAGCAAATCTCCATATAAAGCAGCCCACTGCAGAACCAGCCGAATGACCCGCCTTTTATTGTTGAGGGCATAATCCATTTTCTCCTGCTCTGTACCCTGAGAAGGCTGGGCATGATAGGTGCCACAGTGTCAAGGAAAACATTCAGTGATTGAAAATATCAAACCCAGTATGAATTCACAAACAACCGACTTCCAACAAACCACTTTCAGGGTGTTCAAACATAACTTTCCAATACATACTTTTAAATTCTGACTGTCACTAGCATAAAAATTTGCAAACCTTTCAGGCTCATGCCAAAAAGACAGTGAATTCTCTAAAGAGCACAGGAAAGATCACAGTCCCACCATAGAGATGGCTGGCATTGGGGAGCAGAACAGAAATGACATTTGGAATAACAGAGAAGGGGATTAACCATGGAGACTGGAAGAAGGATATTTCTCCTTGCTCCTCTTTGGAGACAGTAAAAAAAATATGTTACTTTGTGTTTATTAACAATTCCAGTTTTCCATTTGTGAGGAAGACCATGGGAATGAACCACCAGTGTCATTTCTTCTATTTTTAGAAGTTACTGTAACTCAAGGTGGACCTCAGTCACATCAAGGAAGGAGGACCTGGAAGTTTACAGCCTAAACTGATTATTGAGACACAGCGTATAATAATAAATTATGCAGTAACCTCATTGTCCTGAGGAAATCAGACATTTCCACTATATCAAATGAAGTGTATTTAGGACACAATACTTTGTGAAAGTTATTTTGTGATCAGCAATAAGAAAAAATAGGAAACACTTCACTGACCTTTTTAATGACAGTGTCAACATTACAGAAATAGACAAATAGCTAAAAGGCATAAAGAAACATTTCTTGAGAGGAAGAAACCGAGAATCATAGAATCATAGAACTTAAGGGTTGGAATGGACCTTACAGATCACCTTGTCCCAACCCCCTGCCATGGGCAGGAACACCTCCAACCACACCAAGTTGCTCAAGGCTTTATCCAACCTGTCTTTGAACACTGCCAGGGTTGAGGCATCCACTACCTCCCTCGGCAACCTGTGCCAGTGTGTCACAAGCCAAACTTTTTTCTCACATCCAACCTAGACTTTCCCTCCTTCAGTTTGAACCCATTACCCCTTGTCCTGTCACTGCAGCTCCTAACACAGAGTCCCACTCCGCTCCCTTGTAGGCCCTTTAGATATTGGAAAATTGCTCTGAGGTCTGCACACAGTCTTC